CGCCCCTGCACTCTGCAGCTCCGCCCTGCCGCCGCCCCTGCCGCTCCGGTGCCGGTGCAAAAATGAGTGAAACCATCGGTCAATGCAGGGACGAGGTGCCATCGAAAATGACAAGTGTGTCTCTCAATTTTTTGACTCCCTGATTTAAAACGGTTACCAAATAATAAGCACTGTTCAACATTAAAGGAATAGCTTTCAAGAAAAGAAAACACAGCTCCAGCTTTGCCGTATAACCATGCCTACTCGAGGCATAATGAGACATAACAGCCTACATAGATTAATCGCACTATCAACCATATAAGGATGCGTATTTATGCACACCGTCCTCAATAACTTGAGCGGCGGCTGGCTAGCCCCATCGACCCCGATCTAACGACAGTCTCCCCTGCCCGGAGCGGCTGCACCGGGGGCCTTCCGGGCCGGCCTGCCGGTTCCGCAGCTCGGCGACTGGCCTTGTGCCCGCCCACCGCGCCACCATATGGAGGAGGGGCACGGCAGGAGAATGTCGGCCTGTGTCCGGTCCGCTCCTGACCTCCGCAGGAGCGGCGAGCTGATCTCCACCCAGCGCGGACACGGCGCGCCGGCACGGAACGGCGGGGAGCCGCGGAAACTGGGTAATCATCCCCTCGGTAAACGATAGCAGGGGCAGTGAGATTTACAGTCATGCTAAACGATGTATACCTAATATTGAAAGTCTTGCATAACAATGAGTAATTTATTTACTAATTTGTTTGCATAATCGCCAACAGAGCAATCTCCACTTAGAGGCAAAGTCACAGGCCTAAAATCAAATTTGTCAAAATCAAGCCAAAGGCCTAAATTTGAATATCGTGGGGAAAGCGATCATCTAAATACGTTTTTCACTAAACGGTCGCCAAATTTTATTAAAGGTAGAATAATAGAGCAGTTGCCTGCGCTGCCGTCATGAGCTCAAATATGGTGCTGGGTGCAACCGACTTCCGCATAGAGGCCGGCTTATGTGACAGCATGACAGACCGCTCAGCGCTCATTATATTCGGTTTGCAGAGCGGAGGCATTAGCGATCAGGATGTCATCGCACGGCACGGAAAGGCGCAGCACGGGTCACTGCACTAAACACGGAAAGGCACGACACGGCACGGGTGAGGCACGGGCCGGTGCGACGCTCCGCACAGTTCCCCCGCCCCTCCCTCTCCCGTGCAACAATAAACAAACGGCGCGATTCGCCACCCTTCATTGCGCTGCAGCGAACCGGCCGCGCCCACGGAGGTTTGGCCCATGCTGTGAGACTGTTCATCGTAAGCTTGTTATGGCGTGTCACACGTCATTGACGCTAAGCTTCATGGAAGATGCAGACGTAAAATTTCTACCGTGATCTTCCTTCATGGAGACGTTCTCAAATCTGAACTGACGTTTTCGTGACGTGACATCTCGGCCAGTAAGGTTCCCTTTGTGACGGCACTACCGCTCCCTAGTCCCTGGCCGAGATCAAGATTACTATACCAATAGCCGAGATGACCTCTAGCGTGGAAGCCAGGCATTTCTGGCAATATCTCTTGACGTTGCACATTGTGATACTACCGACACTCTCAATCCCAATCCTGCGCTTCTGTGCTGAACCGCGAGGTCCCTGCTGTGTCCTGCAGAATGCTGTGTCCTTTCATCTCTCAGCGGGGTCCTGGGGCCGGGCAGACCCGGGACCCCTACCTAATGGAGGTCACAGATGGGTGCCATACGACGCATCCGACGTTGGCAGGGCGGTCGTCTGATGTCACCTCGGTGTCACGTTCCCCTGACGACACTTCATCCTCACACCGCCACACCCTAAGCGGCGGGAGACCGACGATCAAAATAGCAGCACCCCTCCCCGTCGTCACTTCGCCAGGCTCGGTGACGTCTGTGCCATCAATATCAGGGGCTATGACGTCACTTGGATAGACGTTGAAACTTTGATGGCATGCATCCAATGCAGGGCGGGATGGGGCTGCATGAGATGTCGGCGAGGATCTCAAGAAGCGGTGAGTCTGAAGTGAACATTGTCATGCATATTTAAGTGAGAAGATGCCAGTGCACGTGTTCTGCGTTCCTTTTTCAGTTCCAATACATCAGCTTTAGCCGCGGCTTAACACCCGACTCACGAATGTTCTCATATTGATCACGCCGCGCATAATCACTGACACGCAACTTTCAAACGCCCGCATTCACACTGAGCCTATAAAGCCATTTTTAGTGTTCGTTTGATGGCAAAAGGCACCAAGCAGCCGGGTGGGTATCGTTTCCGATAATCATGCCGAGGATGCATGCGGTCTGACGGTTACATCAGATAGGCATACCGTCTGGGCTGGACCGCCTGGCCTGGACCGATAGGTATAGTTCCTGCTCCGCCCGGCCGGATGTCAGGACAAGGTCAGGAGTCAGGACCGTCAGGACCATGGCAATGGTAGGTATCGATTTAGCCCGGTGACCTTTGTACTGACCAGCATTTTGAGATCAAACGGATGGGCATTTAGCCGAATGATTAGGTACAGCCACCGACTATCCTCAGCCCTCGTCATGATTTTTTTTTTTCAGGGCTGACAGCTGTGAACGGTTATAATGCTATCAGAGGTATTCTGCTCCGAATTAGGATTGACCTGAATCCGCAACTTTAAAGGCATGGACTACCTTGATAAATATCAAAGGCGGAAAGTAAGGACCCTTGATTACATAATACCTAGGGGGAGTGCGCACTTGCGTTACTCACCTACAAAAGAGACGACTCTTTGATACTTTACTGGCAAAAGCATAAGCACAGTTTTTTTTAGAAGGTAGCATGTGACTAGGGATATGAATAAACATTATGAAAAGTTACGTGCGAAATAAGGCATTCAAAGAAGAGTGACGAATGCCAAAAATTAAGCGTCTCGGCCCGTCTCGGCCTCGAAAAGGAGTCGTTGCAGTTTCACAGTCCTGAAATGCCCTGTATATCGATCGTTTCCTTCAAATGACAAGTGGACTGTGGAAAGACAACGGTGCAGCTTCCATCTGCAATCTGCACTGCATACCTATACTCAGTTCCGGTGCTGTTCGCCGAGGATAGTTGCCATAGAGACAGTCGAGGGGATGGAGAGCGAGCGAGCTGCTGCAGTTCTATATTTGGCCTTGTCGATAAAGCGAACTGGGTTCGGCGGGCCACACACTGCTCAGTTTTCAGCACATAGTTGCACAGAGCTCGGTGAAGGGTGGCTCACGTTTCCATGACATGCCGTCTGCACAGGTCGGATTTTATCGTCTATAAACAAATAACGATGAGATGGTTAGAAATACAACCCTGGGTGAGGGTGCACTCGGCCCATGAGGCGACACAAGTTACGATGAGACCAATTAAGATAAGATAAGAATTCACATGAGCATGGGTGATAGCTGTATTATTTACTTCCGTGGCTGTTGAGACTGGGAAAGTCACATCACTGGCTGGCCATTCATTTGCTCGCACAATTTTCTGCTCCGGTCTATGAGAACCACTGTCGACATACACGTGAACATGCACGTCCGGGTAGCGTTTCACCGTTTGGCAACATGCCGACATACACCCTCAGCTATGACTATACGATGAAAGTCTGTCAGCGCAGCGGCGGGTGGCTTATCAGATCAGGGAAGCGGCTTTATGCAGCATGCAGCTGTAAGTTGTAACTGGACCAATGCCTACCGCTGCGTTGCATAGTGCCAGGGCGGGCTGACCGGGGAGGGGGGTGGGGGAGGGGTGACGGGGCGGCGGATTTCCCCAGGCGTAGGAGTTGCCACGAAGGATGCCGGATTGGCCCCAGCAAACGTCACCGGAATTCCGGCACTCATGAGAGGAGTGGCGCGTGACCTTGACCTGACCTGAGCAGGGTCTGACCTGTGACCTTAACCCGACCCGGTCAGGTTGGGAGGAAGATCCGGGGTCTGGGCCGGACCTGCCGGCGCGCAGGGTTGCGCAGCTGCTGCCAGAAGCGGCGCGGCCGCACACAAGGTCGGAATACAAACGAGGAGCGGTTGGCCAATCGACTCCAGGTGCCCGGCGCTCGCCCGGGTGTCGGTACGGTCGCTCTGCAGGACGGGGTATGTATGTATGCCTGGAGAGGGCAGTACACCAATGACACCCTCGCTGTAGCTCCGTGGAGATATTCCGCGGCCGCACGTCCGTCCGAAGCTGCACCGGACAGTCCAGCAGCTTTCATAGAACAGCTGCCGGCGCCGGCCCTTACGAAACCGACCGTGACGCGCGCCGCGGACGTGGGCCCGTCCCGCCCGGCCCACTGACTCATGACTCCGGTTCAGGGAGAGGAGAGGAGAGGTGACGTGAGTCGAGGTGGAGTGAGGTGAGATGAGGTGAGAGGTGAGCGATGAGGCGAGGTAAGGTGGGGTGATTTGAGGGAGGTGGGCCGTAAGATGAGTGGTTTTCCGTCACTTTTAAACGGCCGACTCTTTCTGACTGAGTCACGACTCACGACCCAGCCTGGCCGGAGTCGGAGTCACGAGCAGGTCAGTGACCGAGCGACTCGACTCACCCCGACTCGAGTCTGACCGCACAGCTAACGACCGACGTGTAACGGTCCACCGACCGGGGCACGCGACGCGACGCGCCTCACATAGTCACCGGCGTCTTTGGGAGCGCGAACAAACAGCGGAAACACGGCGGGCACTAAAGTGGGCGCAGCGGGAAACGTCCTGGCCAGACGGCAGGAACAAAGCTTGGCAAACCGGTGCTCTCGAAAGGCAACTTGCAGGTAGGTACGCAGGTAAAGACTAAAAAGATATATTTGACCTACAGACAACCGATAGCGAGCCGGTCTGTCTAATCCAGTTGCATCCAAGCCTATGTTCGTGTCGGGTTGCGAGGTAGCGCTAGCCCGCTGCCCCGCGGTTGAGCCCCATTCCAATCCAGACTACACTACTGCCGCCGCCTCGGCCGCCGGCAGACAGCAGCGGCGGCGGCTGCGGGACGGGGCTGGTGCCGCCTCCGGGGGCCGGCGGGCGGCCGGTCCGGTCCAACTCACCTGTGCACACCCCCTGACTGCTGCACTCGAGTCCCTCCTGACACGGCCGGTCCGAATCATCGCACGCGCCGCCCTTCTGCACGGCACACACAGAGCAGCAGGCACAATCCCGGCGCGCCTCCAGCCGCGCGTCGGCGCCGCACTCAGCCGCCGTGGCGTTCCCGGCGCAGCACTCACAGGCGCGCGCCGCGGCCGGTAACAGGGCGCAGAGCGCCACAGCGGTCACGTACCAGCGCATGGTGCCGCCGCCGACTGACGGAGGCCGCCGCGCGCACTCCCAGGTGGCTCACTGGCCGGCGCTGTGTAGCACTTAGCGTGACGTCACTCAGAGGTCAACACTCATACCCGACTCGCGGCCGCGTCCGCAAACAATGGCAGCACTCCGCGCGGCGACCCTCGCACCCCGGGGAGACTCGAACGACTGACCAGGCACCTAGCACTAGTTGGCAACCGTGCCGGCAGGCGGCAGCACTCACCGGCCGAATGAAAGTGAAAACACCGGAGAGCCGGCTCCGGCGACTGGCCAAGACGGCGCCGGCTCACCTGGCGGCGATACGGTCGAATCTCCCGCGTCTCACCGTGTAAAAATAGCCCCTGTCGATGGGGCTTCCACCTGATGAGAGGGGCAGGTGTTTCGGAATGCGAGTAACAAGTGACTCACGTGCTGGATGGGGTCCGGAGGGAAGGGGTCGGGGACGGTCCCTCCCGGACGCTCCCCCGTGCCCGCATATTTTGGCTACCCGCTCTTTCCGGTAGAGTGGACAGAGGAGAGTGGAGCCGACTGGGACAGGGGGGAGTTGGGGGTAGGGTAGGAAGGCGGGTACGGTAGGGACGGGGATCCAGCTCTCTTGGTCAAGAAACGGGGTGAGGCACGGGAACGAGGGCAAGGTCTTACGTAATTTACAAGAGGGCTTCTTTGGGAGGGTCGAGCCCAGTGTGATTTTGTCATCTCATATTCGATACAGATGCACCGATAATCCGATGCAAACCCACAGGGACGGACTCTATAGTGGGGGTGTTCGTTTAGGATTGTTTTGTTGGGTTAGGCCCTTTCGGTCGACAAGACCATTGCAGAGCCGGAAGGATGATAGGAATTAGGGGGAGACATTGGTCTGGGCAGGCACCCTAGTGAGTCGCCGGGGCTGAGCCCGTCCAGAGGACAGGCCACCCAGCCCTAAGGCACTCACTGCACCCGGCTACGGGGTGCGCTCCCTCAGGAGCAGCGGTGCCGCTCCAAGGGAGCAGCCCGCATGAGATAAAGTTGCCTGTCCAGCCCGGAGGGGGGTTGCGGCTTGGAGGAGAAGGATTTCAGTATCCTGAGGATAGAAGCACGGATAGGTGTCGTTTAGGATTGTGTCGGTAGTCCTTTACGCTCCCGCTCATCAGCCTTTATCGTCATTCACTGAGCGTCGACCACCTATTCCGTCGCCCCACCGAAAATAGCAACTATCGGCCATGAGCTGTCTCATCTCCCTAAAAATATAATGCTCAATGCTCACACAAAGCCTCGCTCAATCAACATCCCCCAGCAGCGCGTCTCTATTCTCTCACAAACAGCACGCAGCAGTGGGCCCAGCCTCAATCAAACCTCTCAATAAACAACCCATCGCGAGCGTGCTAGAGACACCAAACGTCTAAATCGTGACCCATTCTTTTCACGGACTGCACGCTCTGCGTCACCCCTATCCCTAATCACGTCTCCAAACTACCCGTGGGTCACGGATGATCCACTGAACCGAACCCCACGCGTGCCTCTACCCGGTGTACCGGCCTCCTCCCCGAAACAAGTCGTGCGTCTTTCGACAATGTGGCCGTGCCAGGCGCACACACTTGATATGAACACCGCGAAAGGAAGATGAGAGCCTAAACAGACGTGCTGGTCACAATGGGAGCCACCGAGGATGTTGAGGCAAACAAAGGGTGCCTGAAGCAGCGCCGATTACTGGAGAAGTGAGGAAACACAAAACATCAAAAGTGTTTGGTATGTTGTTGAACTGATGGTGTGCGCTCGTGAATGGTATTGTGCAGGGACGAGGTGAATAGCGAGTCGCACCACTGCTTGCAGCGCTTGCAGTTCGCGTAAAACAATGCCGGCGAAAATGAGGTGGTCATCGGTGCACACTGCACCGATGACCACCTCATGGGTCATCGGTGGACTACGTGGGTCGGACCCATGATGTGACAATATGGCACCAGCCATCAATATCTCCGTTAAACTTAGTCGGAATGACACAGCTTTATTGGTCTGACATCACCGCTGGTATAATTCAGCTCATGTCATACCAGGCTGAGGCACAGCTCATCTCGGTTTTACACATAAACGCTTCTCGAAACAAAAACAATGCAAACAATGCACTCAAATGACACACGGTGAAAAATGTACAATGATGAACAAATCATGAGCGGCTGCTGACATGGCACCACGTAAGATCAGGTGCAAGGCAGGGCCGGGAGTGCCTCACCGTTTGACACTCGTAAGGCTATCCTCAGAAGGGCACTATGGCGGTGTCCAAGTCTCCCTCCGGTTAGAAAGACGACACTTCTGCATCCATCCCTTCAGGAAAAAAAAAAAACGCCCCAGACTGAACGCTTTTGTAACGTCCCTTTTCAGTAGAACAGCACCTCGGCAGTGGAAACCTCCGTTTCCGTGATGGCCACAGGCGGCGAGGTTAGTTCGGACTTCCCGAACGGCCAGACGATACCATGCACCATCTTCATGTGCGTCTTGAGCACAACCTTCTGGGCATAGGCGGCGTCGCACAGCTCGCACTCGAAGGGCTTTTCGCCCGTGTGCAGCCGCATGTGGGTGCGCAGCGCCCATCCCGAGCTCAGCTCCTTGGCACACACCTTACAGCGCAGCCTGCCGGGACACACGGGAGGCCGGGTTAGGGTTACACGGGTCAGGGCAAAGCTCGCAGTACAAAATGCATATGCTATTTCCCCGGAACCCCCTCAGTTCCATCGTTTCCATCCTCAGGATAGTCAAATCCCTCTACTCCACACATTAAACCCCTGTTCCACGCTGGACGGTCACGACGGTCACCTTTATCCTACGTGGTGTTCAGTATCAGGCTGCTCCACCCCAGGAGCAGGCCTGTGGCCGGGTGCAGGACCGCTAACGGGGCTGGGTGGCCTATCCACTGGAGGGGCTCAGCCCCGACGGGCCACCAGGGTGCTTGCCCAGACCAATGTCTCCCCCTAATTCCCAGCATTCTTCCCACTCTGAAATGCCCTTGTAAGACCGATAGAGCCTACCACCACCCCCCACCCCACACATAAAAGGAAACCATACCATCCCAAACGTCCGTCACTCAATGCATGCGGTAAAAGGCGTTTTATTTGCTGAGATAAGCGAATGCTTTTTGTCTCGCACATGTTATTTAGTTTTTGCGATCGAAAATAGCATAAAACGGCAAAACAAAGTAAATATCTTACCAACTCGTATTCGTCCACCGTATCACCGCAGACTGAGACTGTTGAATCCAACGGAACGACGACCTCAACTGGTTAATCATATCCCCCAACCAACAAAGCCCCTAATCACCCCCTCTCCGAGTCCCAAGCAGCAGCCTCACCCAGCCGGAGGCATGCCGCGCTCGTCTCCCAGACTCACTTGTCCATGTTCCTGAGCCTGGCCTGGTGCTTGCGGTAGGTGATCAGCTTGACCGTCTTGTTGCAGCACGGACAGAAGCGGGTCGTGTGCGACGCCTTCGTGTGGTCGTTAAGCCGGTTCACGAACCGGCCACAGACCGGGCACACGCCCGAATCTTCCTTGCCCCGCATGGGTCGTGCTCGCGCCGTGCCGGTCAGCCGACGGCCCTGTGCGCGGGGAGGGCAGTGAGCAGTGGACGGAGCAGGCGGGCGCTGGGTAGACGGTGGTGTCCTCAGATCCACCGCACAGGATGAGACTGACTTCGCTACGATCATTACAGCTACATTAATGACTGCCGCTGTGCAGATCAAAGCCGAACTGAGTCATTAGCTCGATTCATATCACCCCGCCTCGAACCCTCATCCCCTGAGTCTCAGTAATCATCTTGCCCTCTGCAGTCTCCATCCCGCCGCTCCCTGTATCCTGTACCGCCTCAATTAGCCAGCAATGCGGTCGACCTCTCTCCCTCTCGCTCTAACCTCTCTCTCCCTCTCGCTCTAACCCCTCTCTCCCTCTAACTCCCCTCTCTCCATCTCACTCCCTCTCTCCACCCCCTACTCACGCCATCGTGGTCCTCTATGACATGTTTGAGCAGCCGTGAGCCGCGCCCGACGTGTGTATCGCAGGCGGAGCAGTCGCAGCGCCAGGTGAACGTCCGGTGCGCGCGCATCTCCTGGTGTGAGCCGGCCACCAGTCCGCACTGAATGCAGCGCAGACCAGGTGCCAGGTGGGTCATCAGGTGGTCGGCCAGCGCCTCGCCCGGGTTCATGGAGCGCGAACACACCGGACAGAACGCCGAGTCCATGTCGCGGCGGCCCCTGGTTGACGCCTCTTGTGTCACCGTCTGCGGGGAGGCGAGAAAGGTCAGATGGACTGAGAGCTTAACAAGGAATAGATTGAAGGTCAATTAGAATAGAATATCGAAGTTTCTTTCAATTCACTGACGAGCGTCGTCATAACTTCTGGTCATCTGCATCGTTAAATAAAGCAGCAACTGCATATGAAATATCGCCTGATGCACTCCGCAGTCACCCCCGTTATTCAGTCCTTCCTTCTCACTCACCTCCCGGCAGCGACCCTCTGAGAGCCGCAAGTGGGCTGCCAGCGCCGCCGGACCGGCCCACAGCCGCCGGCAGACGGGGCAGGGCAGTGACGGCGGCCGGCCGGCGTCGTGAGTGCACAGCGGCGGCGGGTCGCGCTTGTAGTGGTCCTCCAGTTCAGTGCGGTGGTTGATGAGCTTCACGCCGCACTGGTTACACTGGATCCGCTTGTAGCAGGTGAGGAACGGAGGGAACACGGCCGGGTTGCGCGCCCGGTCGGCCCGGTGACCGGCCATGTGACCGATCACCTCTTCGGTGGAGAAGAACCCGGCGCGACTGCACGGGTGGCAGCGTACAAGCCGGTACCAGCCCTCGGGCACGGGGTCCTGGGGGCAGGCCGAGACAGGTTACCACACGTGACACGGGTGGCAGCGTACCCGCCGGTACCAGCCCTCCGGCACGGGCTCCTGGGGGCAGAGGGAGACGGGTTACCACACGGATGGCAGCGTACCAACCGGTACCAACCCTCGGGCACGGGGTCATGGGGCAACGGGAAAGAGACATTATCACAGAAAGCTCAAAACGGCTTAGATGGACAGATACTTCCTGATATGGGCTTCCAGGATGCCTTCCTGGATATACCTTTCTGGAAGAAAGGTATACCACTGCCCACTTGATGGTGGCGTATGGTGAGAGCATAACAATCCACATATGAATTAGTATGAAACAGAGACCTGCGACATCGGAAGGATTTAGCCCTGGAGCATATACACTTGACTTGAAGCCGACTGCCACAGTAACTTATACCAACCGTTCGCTCTATGTTCCCCCGGCGCTCACCTTATGTGTGACACGCAGATGTGCCAGTGCCAGCCGACTCGAGTTGAAGATGACGTCGCACATCACGCACGAGAGGAAGTGACACTTGGTCTCGAAGTGCCGGCGGATGGCGGCGTAGTCTCGCAGCACCAGCTCCGGACAGCGGGTGCACCTGTATGGCACGCGGGACACAGTGGATCAGACAGCAAAAACGACAGGCAAAAAGTCGGACTGGATAACGCCCTCTAATAGGAATTGGACTGGAATTCACGGAAACAACAGCACACTTCAAATTTTATCATTTACGATTACTTTGGATCTCAAACATGGAGCGACCGGCAGCTAACCTCCTGCTATTCCAGTGAGGGGCGCAGTACGGTACAAGTGTCAAGTGTCCTGTGTCAGTGTCAAGGCTTTCCGCCGGCACCCACCTGATAAAGAGGAAGGAGGAGTCCGGCACGCCGCTGTCGTCCTCGTCCCCGTACGCCAGTGTCATCACGGTCTCATCACGCCACGCCTTCCTCCCAGAGATGCGCATCATCATACCCTCCACGCGCGCGCACAGGTCGTCAGAGGTGGCCGCTGCCGGCTGCGCAAAAGAACGGAGGCGTTTTACTATAGAGGAGCGGTGACCAGTCAGGACATTGGTGAATATGGGGTTAATGGTTACTTTTATGTGAGTTGTGCGAATAATTTATCTATCCAAAGGTCAGAACACCCAGATCTGGATTAAAACTAAATAAACGAATGTCAGCAACGAAAGAAAAAAAAGAAATACTTAAGCATGTGCAGAGCAAAAATAAACAAAATGGTGAGAATTTTTGTAGTGTCAATGCTGCGTCATGTGCAAATCAGTATAAAATTGACCTACTAAATGCATTCCCCCCCCCACGGGTGACCCGTCCCGGCGCCTCACCGGCCGCGGAATCATCGTGCTCCGCCTTCCGCCCCGCCGCCGTGCAGATCCCCCTTCGTTCTCCCCCGGGGCTCCTCCTTCCTCCGGGCCGGACTGGACCGGCCGTCTCGTCAGCTTCCACTGATGCCGGCTCAGCGCCCGCTGCAGCAGTTTCGCAGCGCTGGGCTGAGCAGAGGATGGCGCACTGGGCTGCGACGTGCCAGAGCTCGGGCTCGGTGAGTTGGGTTCTGTGGTCGCAGGCTGGGGTGTGCTGGACCTTAGGGGGCTTGATATTGATGTGTTGAGGTTTGGTGCGCCTGGCTTTGATAAGCTGCGCTTTGGGGTGCCAGTTTTTGATAAGCTGGTTCTCGGGGTGCCGGATCGTTTGGTGCTGAGCTTCGGGGCGCTGGGCTTGGGTGTGCCAGACTTTGAGATGGTGATCCTTGTAGTATTGATCTTCTGAGTACTGACCTTTGGGATACCGGGTTTCCGGATGCTAGGTTTTGAGGTGCTGAGCTTTCGAGCGCTGGACTTGGGTGTGGTGGACTTTGGGGTTCGGGGTTTTCGAGCAATGCATTTTTTGGTGCCGGTCCGCTTCGTTCGGTCCGGCGACGTGTCACGCCACTCAGGGTCGTTTACGTCATCAAGACCGTCACCAGCGTCAAACGGACCGCCATCGGCGTCATCGAGACCGTCATCGGCGTCATCCGGACCGTCATCGGTGCCGTTGGCGGCCGGCGCGGGATTCGAGAGGACATCTGCCGAGTCCGAGACCCTGGCACTGGCCACAGGCTGGGAAAAACGGAGAAGAGAATCAATAAACCGACAGACATTACAAAACAGTCTTGTACTTTCAATCCAACAATAATTTCATTGGTCGTTACAACGTCTCGATGATGATAATGATTGGAAGTTTACTTTAAGGCGCCCGGACTGCGGTAATTCATCGGCGCCGATGTTACATCTTCTTTAAGAGATTATATAAACAAATGAAAGTTGATGCCAATAGAATATTTGTGGTTGCTGTCAATCCATGTGAAGCTTCCATAAAACTAATCACTTACCTCATCCTTTATATCGAGTTTCCGCTTCTTGCGACCGGCTTTTGAGGAGTCAAGTTTATCTCCTTCACTTGACTTCTCAGACAACTGGTACGCCCTGCCAAATCACGAAGTCATTAGATGATTGACTCGGGTGAAAAACAACGCCGAACGTCAAAGCTGCACCAAAGATCTTTTTACATCACGCTCAAGAAATGTAATAAATGAATTTACGATCCAGAAATAAAGCATCGGGAACTTTGCAATGTAGCCCGCTTTATTATGCACACTGGAAATTCAGCCTGATCAACTGTGAACTACATATAACGCTTAGATACAAATTAGTTATAACTACACTCACTTGAGCACGTCCATAATGAAGGCGTTGAAGGTCTTCTGTCGGAACTCTGGGTCCTGCAGCAGCGGCAGCCGACAGTCCGGCTTCTTCCACAGGGCGTGCAACACCATGCAGATGTTGGATGCGTCCAGCTGCAGTGACTTCCTGTCTCTCAGCAGCAGCGCCATCCACTCCTTGAGGCCGGTGCCGGAGGCCGTCCGTATCACCTTCTTCAGGCGGTCGCCGCGACTCTCCTTGGCCGGTGGATTGTCTCGGTCCAGTGTCAGCAGGTGGATACTGCGCCCGGAGGCGGGGCGCCGCCGCGCGGGAGGCCACGAGGGCCGCATCCAGCCATCGGCCGCGTACCCGGTGACGGGCAGGCGCGCGCAGCCCAGTGTCCAGCCGGGCCGCGGCCGCACCTCGCCCGGGTACAGACGGTCGGCCGGCCGCGAGCCGGCCGGCCGCGCCTCCCGCGAGCCGAGCAGGTCATCGCACGGAGAGCCGGCGCTCATCGGCGGTCGGCTGGCGTCCCACTGTACTCCTCAGTGTCCGGCGGTGCCCGTCAACAGCCAGTTTCCCTGTAGAGGTGTAGAAATGCGCAGAGAGATAATAACACTGGCGATAATGCGAAAGAGTCAACATAATATGTCACATGAAACTCCTTCCCTTATAAACATTAATTGTCACCTATGCCAAATAATGCAGTTTGCATACTGGATCTCATGACATAAACTGCTGTTATAAATCCCATTTAAACCACATGTAAACAACAAATTGGTTTGCCGTTGGTCACTAAACATATGGCAGGCTCAGGCAGGCATAACTGCTTGCAAGCTTACTGCTTTGTGATTTTTCAGCATGCGGTCAGTTTGCTGGCATTTCTCAGCCCCCTTGGTGAAAACCATGTGAGTGAAGCTAGGGTACTTAAGTTACGTCCATGTATGGCGCTTGTGGACGGTACCGATTTTTAGGCAGATAAATAACCTCAAACCTGTAAGTTTCGCCACGTATAGGTACCTCGCGCTGTAGAAACGCGGTCGTATTTATCCTTTTCCGCATAGCAGCGTATCTATTTTCACTTTTGACGAAAGGTTGTGACTTGTGAGGAATGCCGAAAGTAGCATGGGGACGTTTTGGTGAATGACGAAGGGATATTAACGAATGACAAAGTATTTATCCAAATCTTCAAAGGTTTTGCTGGAGGAAGTCAATCAGTTATGTCGAATAACGAAGGTTATACCAACTGACGAACTGTTGAGTGGGATCAGCGATCATTTTACCCATATGCTGAGGATTTTGCCGAGATGCCTCTCACTGGTGCCGCCTACACGCAGATCAGACGAATGGGTTTTGTCAATTGGCCATCCAGTAACGCGGAAAGGTGTATGTACCAGCTGCCGGACCTGTGGCGTGGTGCAGCCGGCCAGCTGTGCTGCTAGCTCCCCAGCTCTCTTGTGAGCACGCACGGCGCTGCGCACATCCGTCGAGGGCCGAGGTGAGTTCATTCCCCTTCTGCACGGCCTTCTGGGTCTTTTTGGAAAAGTAATGCTGTATTATAGCATTTGATGACAATGGACTAGAAAAATGACAATCATCTGGAGCACTGAATTTCGATCATCATATTGTACGCAAAACTTCGGTGTTTCTCTTCGGACAACTCAGCAGGCGAACGACCTTCCTCTCGAGCGTACCTAATTGCACGCTAAATTACAGGGTATGGGCAGCCGGCAGGACCCTTGGGCCTAGTTATGATCCAACCAGTCATCTCGAGCCCTGTGAAACACTGCTTAAAGACTGTTTGCTGTTTACAGTGCCATTCACCTCACTTGGGTATGGTCCATTTTAGGTACAGCTTTAGCGGTTAGGATCCCGAAGATAAGCCAGCCCAGTCCGCAGTCCGCACCTCAGTCCCAATCATCTGAGGGCTGTCACAGTATATACAGCCTTGAGCCTTGGCTGTCACACGTCAACCAAGGAGGCTCAAGGCTGGGTGGCCTAGGATTTCAGGTCAACATTACGTAGGTACAGTCACCAGCAGTTGCTACCCATCACCCCCGGACGGCGGGGGAGCAAGCTACCACCGCCCCTGCGAGACTAGCGCCGCCATGCGCCAAGAAGTGGAAACACCACGTGACTGAGGCCACGTGAGGGCAGGGTCACGTGATGGAGGGGCGGAGCATAGCAGCTTTTGCACCCGACACTAACTGAAATGCGGCGCTGTGATTGGGCGCCTTAGCATGAATGAAGCCCCGGCGCCAGAATCAGCCGTTCGCCTTATATGGAAAGTGAGCCTTTGCGTTTCACTGTTCTGTATTGGTTTGAGAGCCACGGCACCATACGAATTGTGAGCCCCTTTGAACGGGTCACCGCCCGAGGCACTGAGGCGACGGCTGTGCCGGGCAAAGTCTAGCCTAGTGGGAGAGGTGGGCCAGGGAAAGTGCGATCGAGCAACCACTGGGACGTGGATTGGTATTATCCAACCGCGACAAACGATGTCAGCAGCCTCTTCTCGTGTCATAGACAGTGTCTATGACACGAAAAGCTAGACAGACAACGTGGGCAGTGCCCAATCAAAAGCTACTAAACGATCCAGTTAAGAAGTTGGCGAGGTAGCCAGACCAAATAAAAAGTTTTTAATTCGATTTTGGTTGACAAATGACATACAAGCCCGCTGTGATGGACCACAAAAGGAGCTGAACAGCTCATGCAACTTCTAAAAAGCTCAACGGTTTAAAAATTCAAAAGTTAAATGTTAAAATTCAGCCTGCATGTTTAAACTCTGGTCCGGCGCTGGCAGGAAGCTTATACACTTGTGCCACTTGCAATTCCACTACGTTGTAATATAACCAATAGTTCTGTGAGAGCAGCAACTGAAAGCCCCGTTGAGGGGGGGAGGGCGGCGCGAAATGGCCCCCTCTCCTTTTCAGTCGATATCTCCTAAAGTATAGCAAATGTCGCCACCAAACTTTCAAGACCCCTCCGGGCAGCATTTTTACACCTTGTGACCAAATTTTTCCAGAGCTCTTATGAAAGGTTAGTCACAAATGACGTCAGAGGGATGTCATGTTCTGTCATTTTTGACCCAATAAAAGGTTTAGCGGGAAGAGCTGTCACGCTTACAGTTTTGAAGATAACGAAAAATATTCGAAATCAAAAAGATGTAAAATAAACAGCGCTACCAAACTGCTAACTCTTATTTCCAAACAAAAATTGATTTTGACCATCAAAACTATAGAAGTAAATACCCCGAAAATACTAACAACTTTCAAAATTAAAACTGAAATATATGTTATAGAACTATCTGCTCTAGATATGCCAAACTAAAACTCGTTAGCTCCATTTTTAGCAAAGTTGTGGCAAAAAAAAAAACTACTCAAAATTTATTACGTAAAATTTTTCAAATTCAATTTTTAGCCGTCCGACAGAACACACAGAGCAAGCCAAAGACCACCATTGGATTTCCTGTGATGAGCTGCATCGAATAGATACCCTTTTTATGCAAAATATCAACTCTGAAATTTGACCTTCTTTGACCTGACCTTGACCTGACCTCCACCAGAATGTAATCTAAACTGGCCCCAATGGTCGTCTAGCCCACACCATTGAATTCTAAATGTAAAATTGGCCATAAAACATGTATCACACGACCCTAGCATAGTTGGGTTCATATTGTAACCCTTAGTGAACTGACCTCTGTGAACTGACCTGGCATCAATGACCTCTTTAGGCAACATATGTATTAGACAACCAGCGCTCCATCGATGTTTTTCGATTACATGCCTTTTATTTGATGTGTTAACTGACTGTAACGCATTCCTTAGACTAAATCGGTGAAAAATGCGACCTTTGACCTGACTTGTGACGTCATGGGTTGCAACTAGATCAACAAAACCTGGTAGCAAGGTAGTTCCCTGGTGGTGCTATCGAACGTTCTTTGAATGTTCAAAATCGGTCGGTAACTTTCCGAGATCTCAGGTGGAAGGCGAAACGGCTGCACCACCCGATCAGGTGGTAGGGTCCGCCAATAGCCCAAGGGGCGCGGATCATTTATTCACTCATACAGTGTCATTTATTTTGAGAACACCTTTCTCACGCCATGACATGGTCCTCTCGTAATAGAACGAGATGAGGAGAGTGTTTTCACGCCTCCTTATGCACGGCTCTAAGTGCCATTGAGCTATCAACTGTCAGCGGTTTTCGGACAATGAAGTTCTTAGTTCTTACTGAATCCAATTTTATTTCAAACGATTGTCACTGTGCTAGTTTTTTCTTATACGTTTTTGAAAAAGCGCTGTAGAAGTCTTTGATAGACGAAACCGGTCCGCTTATTCTTTTTCTAATTGTTTTTTTTTTGAATATATTCGTAGACTACTGGCTCTTTACTACAAAATTTGAGAATGTTTGGTATTACTTTGACCCGAACGATGTGCAGCTGAATTTTCCCTGTTAAATGAATATGAACAGCTCGCGAAATTAACTTCAACCTAAACTACCGACAAGCAGAAGAAAATCCGATACAAGCCTACCTCAACCCTCTCACCTTATTCAACCGTTGAAACGTTAAAGGCATTTGTTCAGTCCGAGTCGCTATGTCGACCACCCGCGCCGTGCTGGGGGGGGGGGAGGGGGGCGTTTTACACCCTTCCCCCTCAGGTTTTTCGCGAATATCTTTTTAAAAAAAAACGGCGACGGTCAGGTCACCGTAACGTCAAGTGAC